AAACAGACCTGGATGTTTCATGACACAGGGAAGATGACAATCTTGAACATGATCCAACACACTGGCCATGCAGCTCACAAATGAGGTCTTTTGAAGCACAGCCATAGCACAGCTGTACTTTTTTATTCACACAGATGATGTGATGCCACACCACGAGCTGAAAGTGCTTCTGAGACAGCATGGACAGCAAAGCCTAAAATAGTTACTTTGGCCCCATACAGGAAAAGTGTGGCAAGCTCTGACCCGGGGCAAAGATGGATTACTCAAATATGTATTAAGAAATACTGACATATAACCTTTTACCATTTATTTTAAAAACTACAAAAAAAAAGTACAAAAAACAAAGACAAAAGCCTACAATGGCTTTGTAATATACTTTAAAGAAATTAAGATATGATTTGAAATGGCCCACAATGAGAAAAAACATCATTTCTCACCTGATATTTTGGTGCATTGTTGCACTGTGGAAAACTGCCATTGACTTCCCCATTATGTAGTAGATTATTGTCCACCAGATTCCAGCCCCAGCTCTGGTCATCACTCCCTAGCAACGCCACATAACCTTGGCACTGCATAGGGGCCCGTTTCGTAGCAATTCCTATCACTGCCACAGTGCCCAAAGGGCCCTCCCACCATACTTCCCACGCATGGCGGCCCTCACTGAAACCAATCTTGGTCCTTGCACCATCGGTGCTCTGAGCGATGGGGTTCCGGTGTAATGTAAAGCCATTCTTCTTAATATAGACATTTCTGGAGCAGTCATTTGTGCTGAAGGCATGTTGGAAAGCACGTACCTAAAACATGATAAATAGAATAAAAGAATAGACTTGATTTTTTTCTTTTTCTCTTTTTAAATTTTCTCCCCTTCCCCTTGGTCTTTTTCTTTTCTTTTCTTTTTTCATGTGCATTAGTGTGAGGGCCTCAGATCCCCTGGAACTGGACAGTTGTGAGCTGCCATGTGGGTGCTGGGAATTGAACCTGGGTCTTCTGGAAGAGCAGCCAGTGCTCTGAACCGCTGAGCCATCTCTCCAGCCTCTGATTTTTTTTCTTAAATATTAAAATGTAGCAAGCTAAATGTGGTGGCTCACACCTATGATCTCAGCCCTCTGGGACGCTGAAGCAGGATTCAAAGTTCAAGGCCAGCCTGGGCCACTTAGCAAAACCCCATCTCTCTCCCCTGCCCCCAAACCCATAAACAAAAACACCTGAGGTTTTGTGTTTACAGATAATAAGATTATAAACTTTTAAATGACACTTATTTCCAAATAATATATAAAGCTTCTGGATGGTAAACAAACATTAAATATTGTATCCCATTAAAAATAACTCCCAGCTAGAGCTAGGCATGGAGCATGCCTGCAGTTCCAGCTACTCCAGATCGCGTGAACCAGTTTAAGATGAACACAGTAAACAGAGAAACCCTATCCAAAGAAAGGGAGAGAGCAATCCAACTGTCTTACTGAAAATTCAAACTATAGTGTAACTTCTACAAGTAACTTAAAATGTCAAAACATAACACACAACTATTCATGTACTTTTTCAGATATATTACTGAAATGTTTATGCATAAAACAATGATACATGGTGATTGCTTTGAAACAGCCAGAGGCAGAGTAGAGTAAACATGAAACTAGATGTCACACATGAGTCATGGGTAAAGTTTGGTGTAGATGACATATAGAAATTCAGCAAACTATGTTCTTTATTTTTATTTATACTTAATTAAGTGATGGGGTGCCACATTGTCAATGCTGTGATCAAAAAGAATTACAGCCTAGTTTGGCACACGCTATGATCACTGCTAGGTAAGAGGCAGAAGGACCCTAAGTTCAAGGTCATCTACAGCTACATAGTAAGCTAGAGGTCTACCTGGGCTACATCAGGGCTAAGTTCATTGGTAGAGTGCTGGCTGGCCCAGCATATAAAGGGGAAGTGTGTGTGTGTGTGTGTGTGTGTGTGTGAGAGAGAGAGAGAGAGAGAGAGAGAGAGAGAGAGTAGTGTGTGTGAGAGGTGTGTGTGTGTGTGTGTTTGTATATGCATGAGATCAGTGCCTGATGGAGGCAAGATGAGGGAATTAGATTTCATGAAACCGGATTCCATTAAGGAGTTAGTTGTTAGTCATCTAACAAGAATACAGTATGTGCTCTTATGTTGGGCTATCTAGCCCTTCAATATATGCTTTTATCCATCTAAAGAATCACAACCCAAGGGTAAACAAAGGAGAAAAATATCCACAAGCAAGTATTTTCTAAATCAAAGAGTAACACAAAGAAAGTTAAATCCTCATAATAATGTTAAATTAATATATCCTCCGGGCAGTGGTGGCACATGATCTTAATTCCAGTACTCAGAAGGCAAGGGCAGCCAGACCTCTGTAAGTTTGAAGCCAGCCTGGTCTACAGAGTGAGTTCCAGGACAGCCAAGAACAGCTAAGGCTACACAAAGAAACCCTGTCTCAAAAAAAACAAAACAAACAAACAAACAAAAACCCAATAAATAAATATACCTTTAAAAAAAGTTTTTTATTCACACAGGATAGTCAGACTTATTGCATGTAAAGACTAGCTTGGTAAAAAGACAAATGAGAAAGAAATAAAATGTAAACTGCACAGTGTGTTAGAATTGTTTAAAAAATGAATATTTCCTCACAGCCTATTCCACACTTCTTATGCATTCTAGTTGCTTTTTCTCTGACTTTGCCCTGTCACAGTGATGTTGATAGCCTCTTCCTCAACCTCCTATCACAGCCTCCCATTTTGCTGAACTGATTCTACTCCCTTCCTCTGCCAACAGAAGCCTACAAACTCAGTCCTTAACCTTAAGCTCTTTCCAGAGCTGTCTTTCTAAAACAGCATCTTCACCCAATCTCCCATCAGCTATAACCTCTTGACAGCTCCACACACGGTGCCACATCAACTCTCAGTTCTCCCTGACTCGGAGCCTTCCAGAGCAGGCTGATGCACGCCCTACCCCATCTGCCTTGCCCGGATCCTAGTGCCCTATCTGCTGCCCTCCTCCCACACGTTCTCTACCACCACCTCCACGAAGGTATTGTTAGCCAGGGCCACTCAATCCCCATCAGTCTCTTCTCCTGAATTCCCATTCACTATTGTCTGTGCCAATAGTGAATGGCACAGACAATAACACTTAGTTATAAGGATCCTGTTTTCTAATGCACCTCTGTTCGGTACATGATTCTAGTAAATAGTATTTTGGAAAAAAAAAAACAAACAAAAACCAAAGCTAATGTAATCTGCATTGGTCAGTGCTCTACACTGTATGCAGAGCCTGCAAGAACAGGGAAAACGGAAGAGCACATTGAGCAAGCACCATGGGAATGAAACTAGAAACCTAGGATGGTAATAAAAATTGCAGGGGCAGGAGGTGGGGATGGAAGCCTATCTGCAGACTAAGATGGCCTATTAAGACTCAGCAGCTCCTTGTCACAAGAATGTATACAGACACTGATTAAGTAAACTATAATATTTAACATTTATGAGGCAATAACGCAATTTTGTATTAAGAAATTACTGTCAGTTTCTTTTTAGAGATAACAGTAGTATCATAGTCATATTATGTGTCTTTGTTTTTAGAATACTGAAAAATTCAAATGAAATGGAAAAATACCTAATTAATAGAGTTTAAGTTAGGTATGCCTTTAATCCCAGCACTTGGGAGGCAGAGGCAGGCAAATCTCTGAGTTGAGGCCAGTCTGGTCTATAGAGTGAGTTCCAGGACAGCCAGGGCTACACAGAGAAACAAATACTATCTTGAAAAACAAAATCAGAGTGAAGTTTCTGCCTTAATTTTTGAACAACCTAGACTTCCTATTTCAACAGCATTAGTACAGACTTCGGGCTTTTGAGTAGTTTCCCCACACTCAGCTCAAAGATCACCCTCATTCTCCAGTATACTCGTTGTTTCTCAACAAACTGTCTCTAATTCTGTTTCTAAAATTAAAGACCTAGCTCAGGATATGTCTGAAATTTAGAGAAGTATAGTTAGACACAGAGTATTTGGGATAACCAAGGCTACTTGAAGATACCTAAGACATGAGTTATAAAACAGAACAATTCTGGAAATGAAGGTGTAGCTCAGTGATACAGTGAGTGCTGAACTTTCATCAGGTCCTGGGTCTGAGCCACAGCATGGAAGGAGAGATGAAAAGTAGGGGAAGGGAAGGAGGGAGAAAAAGATGAACCAACTACACACTTCTGAGTGCCATGTTATCCTCAGCCTAGTCCTTCTATTCCCCAGACCCCTTAGGAGTTCTATTTGATCCACCCTCCCTAATCACACCCAGCCTATCAGCTGTCACCTATGTGGAGTAATTCTGTGACAGCTTCCCCAATCCTGTCCTCTTCTCCTCTATGTGCCCTCTACATCTCATGGCCTGGTCTTATTAAATCATAGCTTTTACTTTATCATTCTTCTGTTCCAACTTATATGATTTTTTTTCCAACTGCAGAATAAAGCCCAAGCAATGTATCAAAAACCACATTTCAAAAGGCCTTCCATGAAATATCTAGTTCCAGGTTACCTTACAATCGTATTTCCCTTCATGCAACTAAAAAATTACTTTCTATCTTTAGCTTAGAACACTCCTCTGATCATTGGCTACCAAGAGCTGCCTATCTGCAATCTGCTGAATATCTCAAAACACTATGAATTCTGCTCTTCCACAAATGAACTTGCTGTCATTCCTCTAAACTCTTCTCAAGTGACACTTATTATGTAAACCAAATAACTAGGAGTCACCCTTAGCTCCTTCTTCCTCATTTCTATTTCAAAGCTACTACTGTTGACTTTTTTTTTTTTTTTAACTGTTTATTTTGTTGGTACTTTTGGTTGCATGTATAGCTGTGTGAGAATGTCAGATCGCCTAGAACCAGAGTTACAGACAGTTGTGAGCTGCCATATGGATGCTGGAGCAGCCAGTGCTCTTAACCACTCAGTCATCTCTCTAGCTCCAAATTCTGTAGTTCTTTAAAAAAAAAAAAAATTGTTTGATCCTGCAACTTTCAGAGAACACATAGATAATTCCAATATCTTAATATTCTCTGAGTGAAAAAAAATTTTTTTTTATTGTGTGATGACCTAAAATCCTAGTGCCAAACCTAAAGGCAGCAACAGGAGGAATAGTCATCAAATTCTGTAGTTTCTATTTCCTAAGTCTGTCCATTTCTCTCCATCTCCTTCACTCCCTAAAGTCCTCTTCCAACCTGTACTCCATAGTGAAATCAAAAATAACCTCTTCAGAACACAATCCCATGACTGTTTTTCTTGCTTACAATCAGAAATGGCTTCACTATAGTTTGTCCCACTCCCTTTCATCTCATTCAACCCAGCATCACCTGTGCTAAGGGTAACCACTAACATTCTTTCTGTTTCTCATACTAGCCAGATTCCTTCTTAGGAGGCTCTTCTTGTTCCTCTTGGCCTGTTTATCCTTTAGGTCACTGAGCTTATGCATCATGTCTTATAAAAAAGCCTTCCTGACCTCTGTACCTAATTAAATCCCCCATTACTGATACTCAGAACACCCTGTAACTCTCATTCATAATACTTACCAGATGCAGTTTTACAAATGCAATTATCAGATTAATATCTGTTCCCCCAGGCTGGGGATGTAGCTAGCATGTATTTAATTCTCAGTGCTGAAAAAGAGAAATATAGGCAGGCATGCACACATGTATATGTGCACACCTCCCATAGTCTGTAATTCCCATAAGGCAAAGTGTTAGTAAGAATGCTCAGAATTTGTCATAATTTTCAAAACCACCTCATCTTAAAGTTCACCTTAGCATCATCTAATTCTCCACTGAATGCTAAGTTTTCTCTTTCAGAGAACTTCTGGTATTCCTACACTACACTAAGAAGAAATACATGCCACATATTACAGTCATTTCTATCAATTTCCATCCTGGACTACTCTAAGGAATTGTACACTCTCTGAGTCCTCCCTCCTAAATTAACCTTCCATCTTTAAAGCATTCACCTAAAAACCCAGGATAAGTACAAGTCCACCTTATAGCTACAGTATACATAGCAGAAAGTTAAAGTATTGGAAACAAACAAAAAACCCTCTCTGGAAAGATACAAAACTAATAGCAATTCAGGTTGCTCCCAAGGATAAGAACTGGCTAACAGGAAGCCACAGGAAGATATGTTAATTACTTCTATTGATGCTCAACTCATATGGATACATTATCTATTGCATGCTACGTGAAATTTTGTTTATATGTGTGGTATATGAATGTGTGCATAAGCCAGATGTGAACATTGGATGGCTTTGTCTTTTGCTCACCACCTTATTTTTGAGACAAAGTCTCTAACCCTGAAGCTTGCAATTTTGGCTAATCCAGCTAGCCATTAACAGCCAAAGATCCACTTGTCTCTAGCCCCAAGTGCTGGGTTGCAGATGCATGTCAGCCTGGCTTTTATAGCCAGCCTGGGAATCTGAACTCAGAACTCATGTTTACCCAGCAAGTAATTTACCTACTAAGTTATTTGCCAATCCTTTTACCTAAATTTTGACTGGTGTAAATGTTACTACCACAAATAAATACAAAAATGTATTAATTTATTTTCTTTTATCTTTTGAAACAAGGTTTCACTCTGTAGTTCAGGCTAGCCTGGTACTTATCAAGCTGGTTTCAAGTTCATTTTGATCCTCCTGCTTCTGACTCCCAGTAAACCACCAAATCACAAAAATAATAAATCTTAAGGGAAATTTAAAAAAAAAAAAAATTTTTTTTTTTCCCCAGAAAGGGTCTTACTAGCTAGCCTTGAATTCAGAGACCCACAGAGGCCGAAAAATTTAAAGTTAAAAACAATGAATATAAAGCAAAGTAGGACAATATTGAAGTCTTTTGCACTCTTCTATAAATTACTATACAATTAGTACCCAATGACTATCTATGATACACAAATACACTCCTGGCAAATAATGTTCTTTTATTTAACAAGAAAAACAAGGATTTAAAGAATGTTTTCTAGCCAAGCGGTAGTTGTAAACACCTTTAATCCCAGGATTCAGGAGGCAGAAGCAGACTGATCTTTTTTGAGTTCAAGGCTAGCTCGGTCTACAAAGCTAGATCCAGGGCAGCCAGGGATGTTACCCAGAGAAACCCTGTCTTGAAAAACAAAAGCAAAACAACAACAAAAAACTCCTTGACTTTCGCGCGCGCACGCGTGCGTGCGTGCGTGCGTGCGTGTCTGTGCATGTTCATGAGCACTCATGCCTTCAGGAGAGCTTGCATCTGCCTGTAACTTCAGCTCCAGGGAATGGCACTCTCTTCTGAACTCTATAAGAACCAGTATTCACATACTTGTGAGTGCTGATGCACACTTTTGAGTGAGTGCATACTTGTACACACATATACACACAAAATATTTTGTCAAGAGTGGCCAACCTGGACTACTAATGAGATCCTGTCTCAGGAAAAAAAAAAAAAAAAAAGACTATCTAGCTGATAATTGACATCTTCAACGGCAATGTTCCCTCTTTCTTACCACACCAAAACTTGTTTTAATACAGAAGAATAAATCAGCAGCAGAGGCCCATACTATAACCCAGAAAGGTGGCAACTTGGAGACCACTCTGAACTACATAGTGAGACCCTGTCTCCAAAAGGACAAACATAATATGGTACATATATATTTATAATACATGCATATTTAAAGAAATAGTGCATCTATTTCACATGAAAAATTACTTTAACACTCACTAGCAATAGAGCATTAAAAAGGGTTATGTTTACCATAATCCAGATCAGACTTTATCATCTCTCATATATGCTCCTACTCTATATGTAGACCAGGCTAGCCTCAAACAAGAGATGCACCTGCTTTTGCCTCTGGAGTGCTGGGATTAAAGGTGAGCAGCACCACACCCAGCTCTATATTTGCTCCTGATGACTGTTATTCTAAGGACCTTCCATCTATCTAAATGAACCTTAACCCAGGGCCCTTTGTCTGGGCTGGAGCATCCTTGATCCTGCCACAACCTGGTACTTAGCATTCTAATTTTTTATGAAGACACAAAAATCGAAAAAAACTATCAAAACAATACCCAGTAAAACAGGTATCAACATATTAGATGATAAATACGACAGAAGAGACATCAACTGGGTAGAACTATGAAAAATCTATCAAAGAAGTAATCAGTAATAGTATCGCTTTATGAGTTATATGGCACCAATGGGAGGATGCTCTATTAAAGTCTTTTTTTTTTTCAAATTAGCAAGATTCGTAATCCCAAACTCACTTGGAAGCATTAAATATTGTGGCTGTATGAGAACGTGGGCGAAAATAATGAAAATGTGTTTATTAATCAGAGCTTGGAAAGCGTGAGGGGAACGCAAAGATCCCAGTAACTGAACCCATTTTAAGGCGACCAAGATTAACTAATGTCATATGTAAGTCTACTTGGAGGCCAGGGAAAACATAAAATCAAGGGTATAGGCTGGTGGTCTGTCTGTAGGAGCAAAGACTGTCGAAAGTAGAACGAATGATGAAAATCAGTGATGGGAAACCACCTAATAATTTAAAAAGTGGGGTGGGTTACGAAGCAGAACTTCAGAGAAAAGATCTTTACGGAGAGGGGTGAGAAAGGTACTGACTGGCTGAAGGCGCGGAAAGGCGGGATGAGGTGAAACATCTGACTCAAAGCTTAGAAGGTAAACCCCAAGAGCGGCGGGCAGGCTAGGAGCCGGGCTTCGACGTGGCCCGGGATTCCCTCACCTTGGCCTTGTAGCTGGGCAGGTTGCAGAGGATGTCCGTGCGCAGAGCCTCTTCTGCCAGGCTGCGGGCGCACAGGCTCCGCCACACCTCGCTGTTCTCGTCGCCGTGGAGGCAGCGGTACCAGTGCTTGCACACCAGGGCGCAGCTCCGCAGCTCGGACAGCTCCAGGTAAGAGAACACCAACTCCAGCACCCGGCTGGGCAGTCGGCCGCCGGCCCCGGAGGACCCCGCGCCCGCGCCCCCGCAGCCAGCGCCGCCCGAGGCTGCCCCAGCCCCCGGGCCCGGCGCCGCCATCGCCTCACCAGCCGGCCCGAGGGCCGCTGCTGCCGCCGCTTCGCCCCGTCTCGGCGCGGGAGGCCAAGCCTCGCCTAGAGATCGGAGCAGCTCGCTCACCAGCCCTTTCAGCTCCAACCACCAGCGCCTCCACCGCTCCCGCCCCTGCCCGGGGGCGTCCGCCGCGTGCCCCGCCTCACTGAGGGCAGACGCGCGGGCCACTCGGGTCCCCGCCCCTCGCAGCCGCTCAGCGCGGGCGCCGGAACCACCCGCCTCGCCCGGCCTCCCCGCGACGCACACCGGGACCCGCCATGCGGGTTGAGGGCAAGAAGCAAGGGCGCACGCCCAGCTCGCTCACCGCGCCTCTCAGCCCGGAAGTGACTTCCGCGAAGGCGCCTCGCTCCCTAAGCTTGATGGGATTGGAGGCTGCGAGTGAGGTCATCGCTAAGCGCCGACCACGAACGGGAAGCCCAGGTATGAGGCTGTTGCTAGTGGGTTCGATCAACTCTCTAGTGTTTTTTCCCACTCTTTTTCGATCAATGGCCTTGAGTCGGCTCTTCTTGGTCTCTCTTCCTACGGAGTTTCCTGTTTCATGTGCTTCCTGCTCAATTTCCACCTTGTGCATGACACCGTTTTTGCTAGTCAATTAGTTCCTGCACCTTTACTTCTCTTGAACCCATTTTCTTTAGCTGTGGGCATTTGAGGACCTCTTGTCTTGGTCAGATTAGGTAAATTTATTTTGGTTTTTCGAGACAGGGTTCCTCTGAGTAGCCCTGGCTGTCCTGAACTAGCTCTGTAGACCAGGCTGGCCTCGAATTCAGAGATCCGTCTACTTCTGCCTCCCGAGTGATAGGATTAAAGGCTTGCGACACCACCGCCCGACTCCATTTTTTTGTTTTTGTTTTGTTTTGTTTTTTGTTACTGTGGGCAATTGGCAGAGTCTTTTCCTGTACAGGACCATAGGGCATCTGTCCCAGTACTCCATTCTAAAAGTAAGGTGACAAAATTTGAACAACCCTCGTAAATACGCAGCCCAAAACAAGTTCAGATAATCTCAAAGTGTCATTTGAAAACTAAGCGTCACAATCTTTTTGAACAAAATGTAGTGCGCTCAGATTCATCTCAGTAAA